GTACTTTCAGTGATTGACTGAAGGACAAGTTTTAGGTAACTACAGGCTTGAGCTAGTGTTTGTAGGGATCTTGGCAATGATCCTAAATAGTCCTTTCTGTATCCATAATCTGATTCAAGGGTGCTCCCTATAAGGACTGATGTTTTCGTTCAGGCTTCTCTCAGATGTCTTAAATACCACTGCTTCCATTAAAAGAAAAAAATAAATCTACTCTATATTTTACAATCTTACTGTTGGAGATTCTTCCTGCTGGTAAACTGGCTTGTGCAGAAGCGTGCTGATTCTTCCTAAGTCTTTAAACTTCCCACTCAACTTGCAAGACCACATCCCTTACATGCTCCTACACTTCATTATTCTGCAAATAGTTCATTCTGTTGCTGCTCTGCTGGGGCAGTCTCCTTGGTTCCCTGGGAAGCTTTTGTTCTGCTCTGGGTCATCGAGTTCTAGTACAGAGTTAAGTTACCTGTGGGATGGAGCTCTCCAGCAGGACTTGCTGTGCAAGGGGGTTGTCTTCATGGCAGTCGGCTTTCTAGAAAGATCATCTCTAAGCTGGCTGCTAGACCAGTAGATCTGTCAGTCTCTGAATTTTAGTAATTCTCTAGCTGCTATTTTGCATGTTCTTTAAAATGTTTTCAACATTTCAAGAACTTTCAACAATTTAAAGAAATTGTTTCCTGGAAATGTAACTACTCATTGTTTTTATGCTGAGCTAAAGCAGTTTGTGACTAATAACCTCAAGGTTCCCTTTTTTTACCATAGACTTAGTAATTTTATGTGCGTTAGTAAGGCATGATGACCTATTTTGGTTAGTATGTCTGCTTTTTAAGCTGAAGGATGATAGCAAAAGTGTATCATGGAATTTCTTGGGTATGGTAGAGACAAAAAAGGGGTGAGAAATACCAAAAGTGTTAGTGGAACGTCGTGGATTCTGTTCCATAAGATGTTAGATTATGAAAGCTTTAAAGCATCACCCTTTTTTTTAAAACCTGTCTTTAATAAGGAGTTCACTTACATATTTCTGATTGTTCTAAGACCCTTCAAGCAAGTCTGACCTTGCTACAGGAGTTCAGTAAGGTGCCACTATGCCTTACATCCATTAACAGAGTGCGTAGTCCTTACTGACGGAGACAGCCGCTCATTTTCATTATTTTTTGATTAGATGAATACAACTTTGAAGGCTCCTTACTGGATGAATCCATTAAGAGGACTGCCTAAAGGATATCTTATTTTTGCAGGACATGCAAAAAATCAGAGCCGCTTTGCAAGCTGAGGGCTGTGGTAACACACTATTTATTTCCTTTAAAGCAACATTGCATTTGGCTGTTTTGCTGGTTCTTCATGCTTAGAATTTACTAATTGAGGGGAGGGGGGCGGGGAAGACTTTAAAAGAAATGAATATTCATACCGGTACTTTTTTTTTTTTCTTCTTTATGTTGTCTTCCATTCAAAAAACCCCATTTTTTTCCATTAACTTACAAGGTCCAACAACTTCATAGGTAGTTGTTGTTTATTCATTTCCCCATCTTAAGCACTTGAGACAGATGGGAACCGAGCCATAAGCCTCCCAAACTGTACACATTATTAGTTAGTATTCCCTAACTGACTACTGTAGTTGCAAGAATCATATGTTACTGCAAGAAGGGTGAAAATGCCAGGTTTGTGATTGTGTGTCTGTTTTGTTTCCTCACAACCTTAGTGGCTTTTCTAGCAGTTGTATTTAAACTTGGTGAACAAAGAAGTGTGGTTCACTTGGAGGCTGAACTTTCTGAGGCAGTGGTACAGGAAAAACTGTGTAGGCTTGGTAGAATGGGAATGAAACCCAGGATCCATCAGAGCAAACCCAGAAGATAATATGAATTGAGAATCTGCAGGGTTTGGCCTTGAACCCAGCTGATAACTGAGGGGGAGGAACAGTTTATCCATGGGATGCTCCTGCTGACCTTGCTTCATTGCATGGGCTGAGAGTAGTGCGGTTTTCCCAAGCATGCCGGAGGGCATCTGGGAAAATCGTAATGGGAGAAGAGGAGAATTAGGACTTACTAGGCTCCTGCATGTAATGTTGCTTGTGGCCTTTTCCTTTAGTTTTTTTTTATTTCTTCCCCTGTAGTCCCTTACTGCAAAGGTTAAGTGTGTTGGTAGCTTTTCAGGGTTGTGATACAGTTACTGAGCAAAATGAATTCTGTTATCTGTAACAGCAAGTACAGCTTATTGAAATCATTGCAAGCTTAGGAAATGTATGTATTTTACTGTAGTGAGGACTTAAGGGCCTTTCTGATGGGAACCTTTTCTTCTGCTCATGAGTTGCTGTGTGCAGCTGGGCTGCTTGCACACCTTCTAGGCTTATACCTGCCCCTGAAGTACTTACTCTTAGCTGGTCAATTAAAGCTTGCTGTTGGTATCACCCTTATCTCTTTTTCTGGTGCTGTTGTGTGAATGCTTGAAAAGTTGATACAAATTGCATCTGTACAGCCTTTCCTTGACTTCTGTAGAAACATCGCTTTTTTTCAGGCAGGAATATTCCAGGTTGTGTTCCTTGGAGGGCAGGAGGGAAGAAGGGCTTCCGTGCCTCTTATTAGGTAGATGGGCTCTCTTGCAACACCTGCTTCTTCTGTGCTTAATTCCTGGATAACTGTCTTGTTGAGAGCATCCTTGTCTGCACAGTGAGCCAGAAAGGTTGGCGTTTACCTATGTGCAATTTCAAATTCAGCTTCTACTGGTATGAAAAGAGAAACTGAGCCATATTTTCACTTCTGTAACGTTACAGAACAACCAAATGTAGAAGCATGGAAACCATTAAGATTTCTCTCCAAAGCAGGGGTGAAGCATCCCTCTTTCTGAAGTGTTCCAGCGTTCCTATGGGCTATTTTTGCATAGATGGACTTGGAATCTCCTGTAACACGAAACGTTTATTTATGGTCTTATTCTGTGGCTTGGTTGAGGCAGAGTGGTGCTTTTGTGGCTGCTGCATGCCGTGTCTCTGTGTGCACTTCCTTGGAGTGCCGTGAAACCTTGCAGGCTCTGCTGGGCAGGCTGGAGGTGGCTGTGCCATCCCTGCAGGTTGGCAACATGAGTTTGGAGAGAACTGAAACGAGGAGGCATGAAAGCATGGAGAACCTGGAAAACTTGGAACTTCTTGGATCTTTTCTTTAAATTGTAATGAGCGGTCAGATCCTAGTGCTAGCATTTCACTAGGATTTTGAGTGAAGTTGTTTCAGTGTGGAAACAACAACTTGGAAGCAAGCATAAGTTTAAAATCTGTAAGGTAAGATTGCTGCAGTGTTTAATAGAGAACTTATGAAGTAGCAAAGCTGTTGATGATAAGCTGGTTGGCACCAGGATGGCTAAAAAATGATGTCAACATCTTGGTTTGCTTTGCTTCCCCCTCCCCCCCCCCCCCATTAATTTCCTGTTTAGAATAAACCTGGCAAATTAAATTTGAACCTTCTGGGAGGGCCTTACCTGTACCTTCTAGTTGCACTTACATAAAACACTAGATACCAGTGACTTCTCAAATTAAGTAGGTCAAACAATATGCCTTTTGTATTGTGATTTACTGTATACAGTCATGTAAAATATGTAAGGCAACTGAAAGAAAGCTATCCTTTAAATGATTTAGATCTGTATTTTAGTGTCTTTACACTGGATAAAGTTCTGCTTTTTACATTTTTCCAAGTGTAAGTACTTTTCATTTTTGGGGAGAAGCAGAAAAGCTTTTGCATTATGTATTTTCAATTTAGCTACCAGAAGCAGAGAATATTTTCTTTTTGAATAAACTCAGGCCTGAGAACTCATCTGGGAGCTCAGAAAGTAGGAAAGCTTCTTCTTCTTCCTTTGTCCTTTTTAATCTGTGAACAAAATAATCAGATGGGAGAAAATTAGGATTATGTGCATTAAAGCTTGAAGCACACAAACGACTCCAGATAGCTAACTGAAGGCATCATGCAAATTAGGTATCTTGCAGGCTTAGTGTTTTTTAGATACTCAATAGAATTTCTTGGTATTTCAGTACATTTGACTATTAATGAATTGAGAAATTAATTATGGTCACCAAATCTTAATCTCTCCATTGTAAAACCATTCTATTTTAAAGAGCAGTCTTGTTTGTAGTGAAGTTTGTGTGGTGTGTTGGTTTTGTTGTTTGTTTTTTTTTTTTTTAATTTATTATTATTGTTTTATTTTCAGATGCATTTTTAGGTGACTTTTAAGACATTTTAGTGGTTTGAGTTCCTTCCAAATTCAGTATATTGAAACCCATGTTAAAATTGGCATCTCAGTGTAAAGAAACAAATCCACTGCTAATTTCTCAGCTAAAAGGTATAAAAGCAATAGATGTAAACAAGACTACCTAGCACTTAGAAAAGTGTGTAAATATTGCCTAACCTGCTGGCTATGGAGAAAGAGGTACAAAAGTAAAGTAAAGACTATATTTAAATGCGCATGAATTTTGGAGATGTATTGGCTGATAGAAATGAACTTCTAGAGGAAAATGACAAAAGTAATTTTAATGTAAAGTTTTGTCCTCACTAGCATGTTTACTTTCCAGTAATGACCTAAGCCATGTGCTTTATCCTTCCTTCATTTGGACCATAACATTTTCTAACGCTTCAAAAATTATCTTATGCTGTCTTCCCCCCTCTGTTCCCCTGCCAAGTTTCATGTCCTAGTAGAGCATGCAGATGAGTCGAAAGGAACATTGCCAAGATGCAGACTACAGCATAACTTCATCTTTCCTAACTTGTGTAGGACAGATGCATAGGAAGTTACGTTTTGTTGGTTTGGGTTTGTTGTTGTTGGTGTGTTTGGTGTTGGGGTTTTCTTTGTTTTGCTTTGCGCCAGAAAAATAACCAGTTCTTTCCAAGCAAGCCTTGCAGTACTCCTGCTACTAGTCCTAGTCTAGGAAGTTCAACATCCTATGAGATGTGTGAGCCTCAGATACAATTTCAATGGGCTTGTCTCCAAGAGGTTTTCACGTCATTTCCCCTGCAGTCTACTTTGTGCATGGCTGCTTGTGTATTCAGATGAGAGTTCTGTCCCCTACACATGTGAACTTGACTTTCCTACCATTTCACATGTTGCAGGGAGAATGAAATAACGTACGCGCAGATCCTCCCAAACACACAGTTCCTGAAATCTGTATGCTGTTGTGGGCATGTTTATTTTCTACTTGTCTCCTTGCTGTGACAACCTCAGCTTTTGGAGGAAGGGAGCAGACAGTTTATTTCAAAACCTGTTATATCAAAATGTCATTTACATAAGCAGCAGTAGGCCTTCTTACTTCTGAACTCTGTTTTCCTTTGCAGAGACTAGGAAAGCTTTTTCTGTGAGTCTGATCAGAGAGTGCCTGGAATCCAGAGCTACATTACCCTGTAATGTTAGACTTCTTCAGGAGGCAAGACTGAAAACTCGAACAACCTCACATATGCAAGGAAATTGAAAGGGGCTATACTTACACTTTCCTTGTCGAAGTGATCAGGAGCTCAGTCCACATTTCAGGCTCCATTTTTGTTTGTAGTCCAAGACTGTTTTACCTTCAAGTCGTAGTGAAATTGGAGGATAAAAAATCCTTGGTCATGGGGTGGGGTTCTGAAGTGTTTTTTCATGTCCCCTTCTCACCCTTTTGCCCAGCAGCTACCCTTAACTGAGCCTTAACTATACATTATTGAGTCTTACTTAGTTTTTTCTTGGATGCTACATAGATGCTATTTGATAGCAGAAATTGGCTGCTTTGTGTAGGTATTTCTTCTGTCCGCTT